ACCCCTACACCTCACATACCCCTACACTTCACACACACACCCGTACACCTCACATACACCCCTACACCTCACACACACCCCTACACCTCACACACACCCCTACACCTCACACACACCCCTACACCTCACACACACCCTTACACTTCACACACCCCTACACCTCACACACACACCCCCACACTTCACACACCCCTACACCTCACACACACATACACCCCTACACTTTACACACACACATCCCACCTCATTTTCATCCCTCATAGAGAATGGAAACCATCCCCCAAACAGGTGAATGTTTCTGAAATCAACATACTGATCAGCTACTTATTTTATGAAATTCAAATTAGACAGTTTTTTCACCAATGGAATACTTAAAAATAATAGTAAGAATTAACAGACAAGTAAATAATTTCGGCGGAATGCAGTCAAGGTGCATGACCCAGGTGAAGGGCAACTCACAGTCAAGGCTCCAGGAGCCACTGGTGACGCCAGGCGCTTGTTGATGGACTGGAAGGTGGCAGCCGGGACCCCAGCGATGGTGTTCACGATCACATTTCCACTCACGGTGCCTGCGGAGACAGGTGGGCATAAGGCAACAGTGCCAGCAGAAATGGGGTCCACATTTCAGCATCTCTGTATTTGTCTTACCAGTGGGTATGCTTGTCCCAGTAACTGACGTTTTAATGGTTCCTGCCTATTTAAAAAAAAAAATTTGAATTTCATGTCAGGCTCTCCCCCGCATAAACACTCCAAAGGCTTCCACTTCATTCAGAATCAAACCAAAACTCCACGACATTCACACTGCCACCCGTCCCAACCTCCCCAACTCATTCCACCTGGCGGTGCCCCCACCATCTGTCTACCTGCTATCCCTCCACCCCATCCCACTGTCCCTCTAGCCCTACCCCACTGACCCTCCACCTCTACCCCGGGGTCCCCTCCATCCCCACCCTGCTGACCCCACACCCTACTGTCCCTCTACTCCTCTGTCTCTCCACTCCATTCATCCACCCTCTGCACCTCACCACCTGAGTCCAGCCACACTGACCTTTCTGGCCCCCATATCAGCCAAGCTCAGGACCTCTGTACTTGCTGTGTTTGTTCTTCTCATGACCAAATCCTGGTCATTCAGGCCTTAGCTCAAATGCCAACTCCTCAGAAAGGTGTTTCCTAACAAGCCAGCCCCGCATTGTGCCACCCTGACTCCTCCCGCCAGCATTTAAAGTGATCTCTTTGGCTGCCTCCCTCTCCTGTAGGACATGGCTCCAGAGTGTGGGCACTGCCCATCTTGCCCACCTTGCACCAAGTAGGCATTCACAAAGATCTCTTTTGAATAGATGAGGAATGAAGTTGCCCGAGTACATTGAAAATTCCACTACAACAAACAATTTTCTAAAAACTACTGCAGGAAATAGTTCTATGTAACAAAAATGATTTTATGCCTGCCTGGTAGTCCAAAGTGTGGGTTTTCCCAATTTGGAACAGCTCCTATTCTCTGCAGGTGTGATTCTCTGCGTACGATTTCAGCTCTGTGTGGCACATGGACACACACAGTACAGAGATGCACCAGAGCGCGGTGCGCATGGCCACAGTCTGCAGCTCCACACCCTGCCTTTCTTTTCACAACGCTTCTCATGCACTTTACAGCTTTTCTACAACAGGCATTAAAGACTGATGTGTATGAGTGAGCACACATGGGCATGCTTTCAGGAGACACCAGCACAGACAGGACCTGCTCTCTAAGTGTGTAGGAAGTCAAGAGGTAAATGCGTCACAGGTATGTTCAGGTTATGTTTTACAAAACCCAGGCAATTCCAAACTTCCCAGCCACCTCCACTCAAAGGAGCTGCCTTTACCTGCCAAATCCAATAAAGCCACTAAGCCCACAAAGGCCTTGGAGGCGTGAAATGGCAGAATCTGGGTGAGAACACACAGTTCCTCTGGGGTGAGACTAAGCCTTTTCCCATTTCTTCAGAGGAAGGTCTACAGCCTAGAAATATGCTAGAACTGGCAACAAGCTTCGTTTTAACAGAAAGCACTTGACTCAAGTGCGGGTGGGGGTGACTTCCTGTGGAGAGGAAGCCCGCGAGGAGGTCCCTGCTCACCAGCACGGCCGCGCTGCCCCCCGTCGTGATTGCGGGCTGCGCCTTCGCTGTGGCCTGCACAGGCTGCGTCTGGGTCTGGGGCTGTGGCTGGGGTTGAGACTGGACAGCTGGTGGCCCTGCTGGCGGCTGGCTGCCCGCTG